CAATCATTATAAAATTTATGTAAAAGCTATTGAAATAAAATTATTTTGCAAAACAATAAAAAACTTTTTTTTTTTTAAAAAATGAATAACTCAAACAAGTGTCTTTAGTGCAGTCAAACGAATTCAATTTGTGTTATAATTGTCAAGATAAAATAAGTGAACATGGTGGTCTGGTTGAGTCTATGATACTCTGGTACGGCCTCTACAAATCAAAATAGCCGAATGACATGGTGATTAAGTCATACATTGTCTTCTATGCAAACATGGTTGACTCTAACTCTATGCAAGAGTCAACGTGTTAAATTATTAAATAATTACTTTATTTAAATATGACAAAAAATTTTACAAAACACACGAAAAAGTGATTAATCAAAAATATAATATTAACCAAATGCAAGATATTAAAGTAATTTAATTGGTTACTTCTATTTCTCTCTTCCAAAGAGGATAGATGTGTGTGTGTGTGTGTGTGTGTGTGTGTCATGTTGTTGACATTGTTACTAGCCCTTCTTACAAATTTATAAACCAAACAAAATACACTACTTTCCAAGCTTGTCTTCTACCAATCAAAATATGACATATCACTATATATATATTCATTGTCAACACTCAATTTTATTTTATTTAAAAAAAAAAAAGATTAATTGATTATTAATTTAGGATGTAAATGATTAGATTATAATTTTTTTTCTACCCATTTAAGCTTTCATATTACATAGTTTATTGAAATTAAATATTTTATAAGAATTAAATTCAGTGTATAAATTTGACTAATGTTTAATAAATATATACTAATTAAATTTCATAATGAGGCGTAGAGTGTACGTATCTAATATTCATATTTTCAGCCAAATAAATATTAGAATATAAAATAAAAATATATTGTTCACAAATATAAAATTTTGAAATAAGACATAAGTCAATTCAAATTAAATGAGAGGGAAAAAATATATATATATACAAAAAGATATAATGGACTATATCGATAGAGACAAAAATGCCTAACCTCTATCTAGGGACATTATGATTGTACCATTTTTACTCTTCAACAACATATATATATATATATATATATATATACTAATTTTATTGTTTATAAATTACTATATAATTGAAGTAAATTTTAAGCATTAATTTAAGACAATGGATAATTTTTAAATCAAACCCATAAATAATAACTTAAGCTAGTTAATAAATAAATAAATAAATATGAAAAATATACAATATATCAATATTCAACATAGTGCAACAAATACACAATTACAAAATTATACTATCTTATTATATAAAATTTTAATTATTACTTAAATTTTGATCAAATAAAATTTTAATATTATTTTATATATTTTTTTTAAAAAAATAGTTTACTTTTTAAATATTATTTTAAATTAATACTTAAAAGTTTTTAATAGTTATTTATTTATATATTTGGTAAAATTTTCAAAATAAGACATTAGATACATAAAGGTAAATAATAAATAAATAATTTTTTATCTTCTTCGAATGTATAAAGATTATAAATTTACATATTTATTAAATACATTAAATTAAAATTTATTAATTTTAATAAAACATGAGAATGAAAATAATATACGTGTGTCATGCTGATGTCGTATTTATATATATATTTTTAATATAATGTAACATTTATATATATATATATATATAAAGTAGAAAGTTAAATTTCTAACTTAAAATAGAACTTGCATATAATCATTCAATCAAAAATTGTTCGATTTTTCATGCCCATATTTACTGATATGTATAATGTGTGTGTGTATATATATATTATTAGAGGGTGAAATGAAATTGATGAATTGATGCCTGGGGTGACGTGGCAAGCCGAGAACGCTCAAAAGTGCGTTGGTATGAATTTTGAAGAAGAGGTTCATCCACGTTGGGTAACGGACGGTGCAGTTATCCTTTTCCCTTCTTATATAAGTTTCTGAATCAACTGGCACTGCCAATACATATATAATATATATATATACATAGATATATATTTTTGGACTGTTGATCTGTCAGAAGCAAAATCAACACCACCCATTTTTGATATTATATTAATATAATTATTATTTTAAGGTTAATGCTTTCCAATTTTTCATTCAATATTATATTGGAATTCTCTGTAGTTAATTAATGGGTTCTTAATTTCTTTAATTAGAAATAATATAATTAGATGAGCTAACTAATATATACATATATATATAGTTAAATTAATGGTGAAAATCACTAAACCAATACTTAATCTGATTTGTAATAATTAATGTTTAGGGTTTATTAATTAAAGTGTGGAGAAAGATTAACGAATCAAAGTAGATTAGTAGGAGGAATATTGATACTGGGGATGGTCTCAAATCTATACAAGAATTAAGTATAATAATAACCACATATATATATATATACATTGTAAACTAATCATATAATTAGTATTTTATTAATAAGTTTTCTTAATATCACCATATATATATATATATGTATATGGGTTATGTATAAGTTTATAAGTCTATTTGTTTATTTGCATAGTAATATCGATGACAAATAATTATTTTTCTGTAATATTATGTCAATGATAACTCCAATTCAAATTAAAATTTTTAATTTGGTAGCAAGCAATTGTTTTCTAATTACCAATAAAGATAGTTAGAGCATCAAGAATATGTAATCTATATACATATGTATATATGTATATAGATTACAGTGGAATACAAAAAAACCCATATGTAAAAATGTATATACATATGTTATATGTATATATGTATATATATATCTCTCCTAAAAGTTAACATGGGGTGATATTAAATTGATATTTTATCAGTGGGGGGTGGCAGTAGGTTTTGTGGGTACCCAATTCCAAGTTCTTCATGACCATCCATGTCGATGCATATATACGGCATGTGATACAACTACCACACGGTATTAACCATTTGTTTTAATACTATATATTCTCCAAAGATTGAAGATATTATTTTATATAATCATTTTTATATGTATATATATATATATATATATATCTCCACCTTGTACCCAATTCTAATAATTTAATCTTCATCAAATCATTAACTTCGGTGATCATCATCCGCCCCTAATTACTTTAATCAACGACCTCTACAGTGAAGTCAACAAAAACCAAATAGAATCAATTCAGCTTACACCAATACATATATATATATATATGTACGTATGTGTGTACGTATATATAGGTATACGTATACACATACACGTTGTGATTTCGCAACTCCATTATTATTGAGTGTAGAACTCTTTATGTTTTATTCACACTTGCTTGTCATTTGTTGGGTTGGTCAAATCTCTTACTATTATATTTAAACCATATCTTTCGAATTCAGACAATATTAAATTAATTTCAATTAATGCTAATAATTTTGGGTTATGTATAAAACAAAACATGGGTTCCTTTGAGATTTAATTTTTATTATTTAATTATTGAGAGAAAATTAGCAAAATTTTAAACAATCATCATTTATATATATATATATATATATATATATATATATATATATATATAGTGAAGTGAAGCGAAGTTAAGGGCATGCTTGTTTTTTAAACATGTACTTGACATAGGTGACTAAGACCTCTCAAGATCGAGACACGTGATCTCGCCTCTCTTGATATTGTCTCGATTTATTTAAGATAAATCATTATGTAGATAGGGCTATTCGTTGGTCTAGAAATGAATCGATTTAAAAAGTATTATATATAAAAAAAAAAAAATGAATTTTTATTTTTTATTTTTAAAAAGTTTCAAAATTAATTTCTCTTCAAATTTAATTTATATCAGAAATAGATATAAACAGACTGAATTTTTTTAATTATTTTATTTGTAAAATAAAAATTAAACTAAATATTATTTAATTCGTTTTATAAATCAAATTATAAACACCAGCTAATATTTAAGAAGTCTTTAATTATATTTTTGTTCGACTTATTTCAAACCTATGATATGTGTAAGCATGATAATTGACGTCCAAACAATTATTTGTTTCATTGGTCTACCACCAAATTGTACTCAAAAGTAATTTTAACAAAAAAAAAAATTTAAATTTAATTTTTCCTATAATATGATATATGTATATATATTATAAATAGATACAAACAAGTTGAATTTCTCGACCATTTTATTCGTAAAATTAAATTAAATTTAATATAATTCGATTCAATCTATAATTAAAATATAAAAATTCTAAAAACAGATAAGTGAAAACATTTGTCGGTAGTCAAACAAAAAATTTAATTACATTTTTCTTCCATTTCTTTAGGACTCTCGATGTATATATATATATAGCCACGACATTGACATGTAAACAATTATTTTGTTGGTAAATATTATTCATTTTTTTTATTTATAATAATAAAAAAAATTGTATTTTTCGATTTCCCACTTAAGCTTTCTCATAAGGAGGAGAAGGTCAAGAGTGTCTTCATCCAAAGTGTGAAAGTAAATAAAATATGAACCACCAATTTGACCCATAAAATATACATTTCTTTTTTTTTTTTTGGGTATATGTTGATTGATAGGGATGCAACCAACCCTACCCATTGTAAAACTAAACCCAACTTGGTTTGGATTTTTTCATAAATGGTTGTTTCCAAACCAAAAATATATAGATTCTTCTCATTAATTCAAACTATATATACTCGTTCGTAACACAAATTTGCAATAAAAGCATATCATTACGTACAATTTAACTCGAACCCGGTAAAATTTTGTTGAAAAAAAATTACTTTTCGAGTATCGGTACATAAATAATTGTTGGTGTTCACATATGGGTTTTAGAACAAGAAGGGATGACATCTTTGATCGATAAAAGGAATAGTGTTAAACTTTTATAGTTTCATCACATCAAAAATTAAAATACAATCCGATTTTATTTTCTTTTTCAGAAAAAAAAATTAAATAAATAAAGAAAGTGGCAAGTTACATTAATTATTTAAAAATCTTGCCTCCTCCTATCCTGCTCCCTATATAAACAATCCCCTTCGTCTCTCCCCACCAACAAGAGGGATATTACGGAGGAAGAAAGAAGAGAAAAACCAGAGAGAAAGAAGATGGAGATGGACGGGAAAGAACCCTCCGAGAAAAACCATAATCTTTCTTCTGATCACTCAACTAAGGTTGTCAAGTTCAGAGGATGGAAAGCTATGCCCTTCATTATTGGTCTGTATTTCATCGTCTTCCTTTCAAATTATGTTTTCCCTCTGTTTTTCATTTTCTCTTAATTTGATCTTTTTGTATTTGTCTAATCAGGAAACGAAGTGTTTGAAAAGCTTGGAATTATAGGAACTTTATCTAATCTCCTCGTCTACCTCACCGCCGTCTTCAACATGAAAAGCATTACTGCTGCAACAATCATCAATGTCTTCGGCGGCACCACCAACTTCGGCACCTTCATTGCAGCTTTCTTATGCGATTCCTATTTTGGCCGATACAAAACCCTCGGCTTCTCCATCATTGCTTGTTTTCTGGTAAAAATTTCTCATACCCACAAATTATTTTCACTTTTCCCACATGGGTTTTAATTTTTACAACGTGGGTTTTAATTCTTCCAACATGGGTTTTAATGTTCTCATACGTTAAAATCAGGGTTCGGTTGTGATGCAACTCACCTCAGCCATACCCAGTTTACACCCAGCTCCATGCTCAAACGGACCAGACACCCTCTGCAAAGGACCGACAACAGGACAAGTTTTATTTTTGATGACTGGTTTGGGTTTGTTGATAATTGGGGCTGGTGGAATTCGACCATGTAATTTGGCATTTGGAGCAGATCAGTTTAATCCCAATACAGAATCTGGGAAGAAAGGGATTGATAGTTTCTTCAATTGGTATTTTTTCACCTTCACTTTTGCTCAAATGGTGTCGTTGACTCTCATTGTTTATATTCAATCAAATGTTAGCTGGACAATTGGGTTAGCCATTCCGGCAGCTTTGATGCTTTTGGGCACCATTGTTTACTTTGCTGGTTCAAGAATTTATGTGAAAGTGAAAGCTAGTGGGAGTCCATTAGGGAGTATAGCTCAGGTCATTGCTGTTTCAATCAAGAAAAGGAAGTTGACTCCTCCCAAGCAGCCATGGCTAGAGCTCTATAATTATATCCCTCCCAAGTTCATGAACTCCAAACTCGGTTACACTGATCAATTCAGGTACTACAACATATATCACCTATATTTATGTATGTGATCTTGATATAGTGTACCTTTTAGACAGATGTAACTTTTGATCTTGAGTTTTAAAGTAATTTTAAAATAATTATCTGTTAAAAATGTTTTTAGTTAAAAATTAGATAGTGTTTAGTAGAAATGACTAAAAAATTATTCTCTTTGTTTGGTGAAAAGAGAGAGAGTATAAATTTTTATTAAAGAATTTTATAAGTGTTATTTAAAGTTAAAAATTATTTAGTATTTAGTCTGTAAGAATTATTTTTTAAAAATAAAAAATAAAAAATTTATGGTGAAAAAAGAGAGAGGGCAAATTTTTTATTTGAAAGTAAAAATTATATTTTAGAAATTATAAATTATAATTTTTATGTTTAAATCGATTAAAATTATATTTTTGGACTTTTGACTTTTACTGAAAATACTTTTTAAATTTTATATGCATGCTTATAGAATTAATGGGAAAAATCAAAAGTTGACTGGAAGCAAAACTGAGGCAAGATATATATTGATGAGTTGTTTCCGGTTCTTTTTTTTTTTTTTTCAGATATTTAGATAAAGCAGCAATAATGACAGAAGAAGACAAGTTGAACCCAGATGGATCTCCTGCAGATCCATGGAAGCTCTGCACGATGCAGCAAGTTGAAGAAGTAAAATGCTTAGTACGAGTCATGCCTATCTGGGTTGCAGCTTCATTCTACTACATAGCCGTGATTCAACAAATGACATACCCAGTTTTTCAAGCTCTTCAAAGTGATAGACGTTTAGGAAGTAACAATTTCGAGATCCCGGCTGCATCCTACGTCGTTTTCTTAATGTTAGGAATGACCATCTTCATCCCCATTTACGACAGAATACTAATTCAGTTCTTCAAAAGAATTACAGGCAAAAAGGGTGGAATCACTCTACTTCAAAGAATTGGAATAGGCATGTTCATTTCAGTTATCTGCATGGTGGTATCTGCTTTCATCGAGGAACGAAGAAGACACATAGCTTTAACTCAACCAACTCTTGGAATGGCAAAAAGACGAGGTGCTATATCCGCCATGCCGGGATTATTCTTGATTCCTCAATTGATGTTAGCAGGAACTGGAGAAGCATTTACAGCAATCGGCCAAGTTGAATTTTACTACAAACAGTTTCCAGAGAATATGAGGAGCATTGCAGGATCACTTTATTACTGTGGTCTGGGTTTATCTAATTACCTCAGTACATTTTTGATCTCTGTGATTCACAGGACAACAAGAAATGCTTCAACTGGCAACTGGTTGCCTGAAGATCTTAACGATGGAAGACTGGATTACTTCTATTTCACCATTGCTGGGTTACAGCTGGTTAATTTGGTTTACTTTTTGATCTGCTCAAACTGGTATAAGTACAAAGGAGCCGGGAACAATGAGGATGATAATGATGAAGGTGGTAATAATGGAGAGAAGAAAAAGCAGAATATTCATGTTTAAAGACTGTCTTTTTGCTAGGGTTTATGGACTCCATTAATGGAAGTTTAGTTGAAGATCGGCAGGCAGAATAAAACAAGGTGGGAGGAATGAAATGACACATGGGAGCTCATGTTGTCCTGTTGAAAAGTTTATTATCTGAAAAAGAAAAAAAAGCTGTCTAACCCTTTTAGGAAACATCATATGGAAGCTGATTCATCTTTAATAATTGTATCATATATATATATATATAGATATAATTTTATGCAATGAAAAATTTATTTCCTCTGGTTTCATCTTCATGGAGTTGACACTAACACCTTCCACATACATACATACATATATATATATATAATTGAATATTGAAATTACCCACAAGTCTGATATAGTAAATGTGTATGTATATACATATATAATTGAAGATGAAGATGAAGATGAAGATGAAGATGAAGATGAAATGGATAAGGGTAGGGACTAATTTCTAGGAGATTCGTAGAGAGAAAGATGGGAATAAATGTGGGGAGCAGAATTTATTGCATTCCACTAATCTTCTCCTCTACACAAGACTAGTAATGAGCACGTACTCCATCTGACCATCCACTCATTTCCATTACTGTTGATATTTTTACTCTGTTTCTAAGACCGCGTGGGTCCGAGATATTGATTTTATATCTCCTATATATTTGTTTGTAAAATATATTATATATGTTCTCATTACTAATAAAATATATAAACATCTACTTAAAAAGAATATCAACATTTCGTGAATAAGTAAAATCAACATTCATCCAATTAACATATAATTTTTTTAAATTAATTCTATAACTAATTTCTTAAAATTATTTTGCATAATATCACATACGATCACATTAATGCATAATAAATTATATGCAAATTTTCACGCAGAATTTTTTTTGAGAGAGAGAGAGAGAGGGAGAGAGTAAGTTTTTTTTTTTCTGTATTCTTCTATTTTTTTTTATAAATTACTAAGAAATAATAACTTTTACAATTTTGATTTTAAATTTAAATAAATGATTATTCTAATCGGGTCGGATCCCATCTTGAGTGACTTATCCGATTAAATTCAATAAACAATATTACATGATTCATATTTGACCAATCTCCATTTTTTTTTATTATTTAAAACACCTTTAATTACGTAGAAAATACTACAGTGTATTATTTGCTGTATTTTCCACTTAATTTTAATTATTAATGTAGTTTTTCTTAAAGAGAAATAAAAATAATAATAATAATAATAAAATATTAGTAAATAATTATCTTTTAAAAAAGTGTGAAATAATAAGATTATTAATAATACTTTACATTTGAGTCACCACCTTTACAAGTTAAAGATTAGGAATTTTGTTCTTATTTAGCACAAAAATAAATGTATATATCAAGAAATAGCATCTCGAAATAAAGGTTAGTACCCTTAATTTATATATAGAAACATCTAAGTAATAATCAATATTAATCTATTTTATAATTGAAATTATCATATACAATGTATATATAAAGTATCATAAATTATAATGTAAAATTTTGCATACGATAAGTACGAGTCTCATAAATTAAAAGATTATTAGTTGAAATAATTACTCTTTTTTCTATTAAAATATTGTGCAATGAATATCATCATAAATTAATATATATATATATATGTGGTAATACATTGAATACGCTTTTTAATAGGAGAATGCTAAATAAATTTTAAATTAAATTTAAATGCACATTTTATATGAAGAAATAAAATTTTATAAATAAAAAATTATTAATTGTCTAGAATTTATCTTAATCATTATTAAATATTTTACAGTTAAATATAATCACATCCAATGTATTTACGATGATTGTATATCTTATTAATATATATTATAACGGCTCAGAATTTAAAATAAAATAAATTATAAATTTGAATACATAAGTGAAATAATAGCGTTAGAGTTTACATTCTTTATACAATAATTCAGAATACTCAATAGAGTTACGGGAATGACCATTTTAAAAGAACAACGAAAAATTAAAGAAACAAATGAAAAAGTAAACAATTGAACATCCTATTCGCAACCCTCTTGTGGATCGGGATTTGGATCTTGTTCCTCGTCATCTGAAATAATTAATGAAAGAGTGAGATATACTAATCCAGTAAGAATGTCACACTACTCACTGATACAGAAATGAAGGTTGGTAAAAAAATCATGAAAATAACTAATGAAGTTCTTAATTTAAATAAATTTATTTATTATAAATAAAATTATTCATTGTACACTTATTGTAGTGAAATTTTCAAAACTAACCTATGGAGTCAATAAAGCAGCAATATCATAATATCATATTCAATTAATCAAAATAATAACTTTTCCTTTTAACCAGCCTATTGGTATTCATGGGGGTCCATAGGGATGTCCCCATTACACGTGAACCCTTATTCAACATTGTCAATTAACCAGTCGTCTCCATACCCTGTTTGGTATGAGCACCAAAATGTTAATTCTCGATACCCCGTCCGGTATGAGACAACATTCACGGTAGGGTTTCCTATGTAACGACCCTGAAAATCTAAAAGGGAATATATAATAACTTAAGTGCGGAAGTGAAATAAAATGTTAAGTTTTACATTTTTTACACAATAATTTAAAGGTACTAACCAGCATTATGAAATTAATGCTTTCAAAGAAACACGAGAAATAAGGAAACAAATAGAAAATAGAAAATATCTAGCATCTACTCGCAATCTTCTTGTAGATCGAGTTTTGGAACCAGGTCCTCTTGATCTAAAATGGTTAAATAAAGGATGAGCTACACTATCCCAGTAAGGATATTACACTATATCATCAGAACAGAAGCAAAAGTTGGTATAAAATTGAAAACCACTAATGGAGAATTAAGTTTAAACCAATACATTTATCAATCATAAAACCATTTACCGTTCACTTGCCATAGTGAAATTTATAAAAATAACTTATAGAGACAATAATACTATACAGATAATAACTTCATGAACAATCAGCAAAATAGAACATATCATAAATCCATATCCATTAACAATAAACCAAATCATAACTGTTTTCCTTTTCACCAGCCTACTAGTGTCCATAAGGGTTCATAGGGATATCCCCACTATACGTGAACTCTTTCCTTCAACAATCTCAATTACATGGCCATCCCATACCGCGTCCGGTATGAGCGTCAAAACATTAAACCTCAATACTCTATCCGTTATGAGGGTGAAGTAGGTCGTCCTTATACCCCGTCCGGTATGAGTGCCAAATTACCAAGTCTCCATACCTCGTCTGGTATGATACAACCTTCACGGTAGGGTTCCCTATGTACCCGGTCCGTCCACCATCTCCTAGGATATCTAGTAAGCCTGTCGTTCCATCTGCTTATTTGATCACACAACTTTCCTGTTTTTCTTTAGTCTCAATTACCAAATCAAACATAGTCACATAAATAAATAAACATGCATCAGGTAATGCAATCAGTAGTCAGGTAAGACAGCAATACATGCATTTAAATCATAAAGTAGATAAATCAGATACTATCATACTTTTAAACTATAAAATAAATCAATAGAGAACAATTTCTGATTTGAGCTCCATTAGCAATTCGTAATTAATTATGCACATCTATTTAATTTATACAAAATACCGTATTATTATTTATTTAAAACTTCAATTCTATGTTCGGAATAGGGTAAGGGATCCTTACTTAATTTGACGCTGAAAAGCTAAACAGTTTAATGTGCCTACGAGCGGTCCTTAGATTCCTTAAATTTTTCTCCAGAAACTGAAACGCGCTTATAGTACCTACAAATGTTTCAAATAAATCCAAAATCAGTCACAGGGCCTACTCGGCCAATTTTTGAAATCCGGCATGGCGGCGGTTCGCCTCAGGTCGGCTGTTTTTGGCCGAATTTGACCGATTTTACATCAATTTTTGCGAGCAAATACGTTAAAGGGCATCGATTGACCAAAAAAATACGAAAAATTGAAACTCACC